TGGCGCCCTTCCGCGATCTCTGGATATAACAAATCAGTTTTAGATATTTTTATTGAGCAATAGTTTCTTACAATGGACGTTAACTTATTGGGTAATGAAGAACTTAAGTACGAGTTGACAGTTCGAGGTTTACCAATAACAGGTACTTTCGCTCAGAAACGAGCAGTCCTTCGAAATGCTTTCAAGTCGGAACGTGAAGGCTCTGTTCAACCACCTTCTTTTTCTCCTTTTTTTGAATCAGTTAGCGAACTATGCTTGTGTGGTGCGAAATTGTATTCAGTGGGTCGTGATATTTTAAATTTCGATGATGACAACAGGGACACTCACTTCAGAAAAATTAGCACACTTCTGGAACACATTAAATCCAGAATAATTCGAATACTGCCCGACACTAATGCTAACCAGACTCTGGAGAATAATTTATGGGAACGCTTCAATGATCTTTTCCAACAGTTACATTCAAAATACACGGAAACTTCTGAACTGGTTTCTCTCGAACCTGGGGTATCCAACGATTTAATTTCCTTAGATGACAGACAAGCACCGTTGGAGACACATCAAGAGGTTCCTGATCCTCCCATCCACTCCACGAACCTCTATTCTAATTTTCTGGACTCCAGATCACGTGGTCAGCAGTATTCAAAAGACCCTTTCGACTTGTCTAGGAATACCTTGCAAGCTCAGAACAATAATTTTGCATCCCAATCTCAAGCTTCGTTTCGTGCATCACTGCCACCGACTTATTCTTCGCACTCTGTGCCTACTCCTCGAACGGATAATCCCCATCATACTCTGATAGACGCTTCCCTTGCGGACTTACCCAGTCACTTGGTGGCCTGGCGGACATCCGTTCCCACATCTACTGGACTTTAGGTTGCCTCGATCTCCAACATACATTCTTGGTTACCCCCGAGTGCGGTACAGTCATCGTTACGCCAGGACAGAGATAACACATTTGTGGTCCCCAATCAAAGACCTTCTGATGGCATCAGACAAACTAGGTATCAAGAATTTCCTTCCGCTGAAGCCAGTGACTCTCGTGTACCATTTGCTGAGCCCGAAAATTTTGCTTCTCGTGCAAACTCCACTCAGCATGGGACAAATGCACCAACTGATCCAGTTCCAGGTTTTTACAGAAGAATGGAGGAGCTGCAATGGTCCCCGCTTCGTGGCCCCTCTGTTTCTCATTCATATGAGCCTCATACTCCTAGTTTCAGGGACATTAGTCGATGGTCTCTAAAGTATGACGGTCAGGGGAGTTTATCGAACTTTTTAGAAAAAGTCGAAGAAATGCGTTATTCTATAGGAGTTTCCAAAGAAACGAACTCTTCCCCAATTGAACAGCGATACTATTCCCTTTCCCGTGCTCTTCAGACTGAAGTAAACACAAAACTAGAGAAGATGCTAGCGGATGGTATTGTTGAGCCTTCTAACTCGCCTTGGTCTTCTCCGATCGTGATGATCAAGAAAACATGTGGTGAGTGGCGCTTTTGTGTGGATTATCGCGAGGGGGTGACAACTGGACCAAAATTTGTACATGTATTGCGCATTACATGAGTAATTCCGGTAATTCCAATGTAATGCCAGTAATTATATCATAATGCCATGTAATTTTATGTAATGCCATTGTAATTATGTATACCTAGGCTATATGAAATAGTTTCACAGTTCTACATAAATCGACCAGAAAAACAAACCATTATACATTGTTGAAAACAAACATCACATCCTATAATTTGTAGATATTTATTATTATTCTATAGATAGTTAGGTATTTTTCTAAGGCTCTGGTTATTCATCTTCAGATAAAGTTGCTGGTAACTATCTGCAAGATAAATTCACCGTTCTATAATTCTATTGATCAGCCGCTAACTGGCCAAACAATGGGATTACAGACTACGTTTTTTTCCGTCAGATTGCCTACCTGACAGTTTATCAGAAGGTAAATAAACCGGTCCTAAATCTAAATAAAATGCTAAATTTTTCTCGTAATCTATCCTACAAAAACCCCAGCAAAAACCGTTTCAACTTGTTAAATACATTTTGTCTTCCATTTTGGTAGTTTTACCAAGAGTTTTACAATGGTTAATTTATCCCTCGATTTATCCTGTCTCAAGATTTCAAATGGTTCTGATCCAATGATTTTATTGGTCCATAAAAAATGTAAGCTGTCTTGTCTTGTCTGCAGATTGTACGTCATTGTGTCGTGAGGCTATATGAAATTTCTAGATCATAGTTTTGTTTGGGTTCGAAAAAAGGACGGTTCTAAACAATCGCACAGTCTATCAATAGCGAGATCAATCAACAAAATGACAAAGGCTCGGCTATCACAAATTTCAATAATAAACTGCGCGATTGTTTTGAACTGTCCTTTTTTCGAACCCAAACAAAGCTATGATCTAGAAATTTCATATAGCCTCACGAAAATGACGTACAATCTGCAGACCAGACAAGACAAGACAACTTACATTTTTTTCGAACCCGAACAAAGCTTATAATTTTCAATTGTTTCTAGCCTAAAAACAGTCGAATTTAGATAAAGCACATTGAGTAGAATCAAAAAATGATAATAAGATATATAGGGTGTCCCGTTTAAAACAAATACATATTTTACTGTAACTTTTTTTCTATTCACCCTGTATGTGAAAATAATTTTGAATGAATGAAATTATTATGAACATTGAGGTAAGTAATATGAATATGATCTTCCAGTGGATGTTTGGAAAATTTGAGGGTTGATAAAATAATACATGCTCGATTAATACCCCATTAGATGCATACAATTATTGTATGTACATTAAAAACTTAAAAATCAACCGCTAGATCAACCAATTCCATTGAATGCAAGCGTAATTCCGCCTTATCCGTAGGTAATGCCTTGTAATGTCAGCGTAATTCCTGGTTATACCGAGTAATGCCAACGTAATGCCTGTAATTCCAGTAATGCGTTGTAATGCGCAAGTAATGTGTTGTAATGCTATAGAATTTGTACTTGTATTGCCACCAGTTGTTACCCCCTCGGATTATCGGGCACTTGATGGTGTAACGGTTCCCGACTCCTATCCCATACCCTATGTTTCAGTTACGCCTTGACAAATTGCGGGATGCTCGTTTTCTCAGCACGTTGGACATTAAGTCAGCGTACTGGCAGATTCCAATTTCTGAGGAATCAAAACCTCTGACAGCTTTTACTTTCCCGACACGCGGTTTATTTCAATTTAGGCGTATGCCGTTTGGGTTAACTAACGCACCAGCTATGTGACAGCTGCTGATCGATCGCGTTATTGGTTTCGAGATGGAATCTTCAGTCTTCATCTACCTTGATGAATTTGTACAAGTTCATTCGAAGAACATAATATTGAGGTCTTACGTGAGGTCATCAATCGGTTGAATCGCGCTGGACTAACCCTAAATAAGGACAAATGCGTTTTCTGCAAGCCAGAATTGAAATATCTTGTATACGTAGTGAATTCTTCGGGCCTTCTGGTCGATTCTGATCAGATAGGGGCTATTCTTAACATCCCTACCCCCAAATCAGTAACTGAGATTCGTCGAATCATTGGTCTTGCCTCTTGTTATCGGCGCTTCGTCAATAATTTTTCGACCCTTATAGCTCTCCTTGATGTCTTGACAAGGAAAAATGTCAAATTTATCTGGGATGATTCTTGTGAGACTGCCTTTTGCTTGTTCTAAGAACATTAAGGTGAGGCTCCAGTATTGTCGTGTCCAGATTTCGACAAACCCTTCATTGTCCAGTGATGCGTTTGACTTTGGACTTGGTTCTCTGCTAATTCAGATACATGACGAAGCTGAGCATGTGATATGCTATCTGAGTCGATCACTCACCAAGAACGAACGAAAGTACACATTTACCGAGAAGGAGTGCCTTCCCGTTCTGTTTGCAATCGAGAAGTTGCGCCCTTACATTGAGGGTCATAGATTCACGGTGATCACTGACCACTACAGCCTTAAGTGGCTCAATTCCATCAAGAACCCGGTAGGTCGTATTGCTCGATAGGCCGTTTGCTTACAGCAATATGACAGCAAATAAGGACAATGTCGTTCCCGAAACATTATCACGTTCTGTCCCAGTTATCGATGCTATTAACATTTCTCCGTTATTGTCCGATGACGTTTTGTCTTCCCAAATAAAAGATCAGTGGTACCTGGGCATGAAGAAAAAGGTATCAGATCAGGTCGTCCCTCTGAATTTCCCCTGTGGTGCTGAGTAAACAGCTTACTGCTACTAAGCCGTGGCAGGTTGTTAGTGCAGATATCGTTGGGTCTCTACCGCGATCCACTTCTGGGTTTTGTTACATTTTCTCGGTGTGTGATGTTTTTAGTAAGTTCTGTCTGTTTCTCCCGCTTCGCAGCGCCACCGCGTCTGGTATCGTTAAATGGCTGGAAGTTCACGTCATCCTTGTTTATGGGGTTCCTCGAAAAATTATAGCCGATAATGGCCCTCAGTTTCGCAGTAAACTTTACCGTGAGATGCTCGCTGTGGCCTCTACATACAATCTTATTCAATCGAGAATTCTCTAGAAGTTGAGATGAAAAAGTATCTATGCTCCAGTGCACCACCTTCTCATCCTAAGTTCCCACAGCACTATCTTGAAAAAATTTAGAAAACAGACATTTGCAATATTCCACAATTGAATGGATATCGAGAAAGAAAATTAAATTATCAATTAATTAGGTAGTTACCTAAAAAACTGACAAATAATCCCATTGACATTGTCACCTACCTAAATAAGAAAAAGTTGATTAGCTAAAATGCTTCTGATATTTAAAGACAACTTCCTATACCTACTTTGTATATTAGTGAAATTACATGAAGATCATACAACATTTTTTAATTATCTACCGTTATCATGGAAAGTTAGCATATTTTATGTCAATTTTTTTTTTTAATGTTACCATATATCATGGTAACCAGCCACTACATTTAAGATTTAACTCTTTGTTCAGATGAAATTTCTAATTTTGATATTTTCCCTCAGGTTCTGGCAGCGGCGCTGATGGAGATTACCAATTGGTCCAGCATGAGGTACTCTACTCTATGACCAACCAATATGAGGTACTCGAGTTCTTGGGTAGAGGTACCTTTGGCCAAGTGGTGAAATGCTGGAAGAAGGGCACCAACGAAATAGTTGCCATCAAAATTTTGAAAAATCATCCATCTTATGCTCGACAGGTAATTGTGAGAATCTGTTCTGAAACGTGTTAGCTATCTTCCAAATATTGTCTTTGTTGTTACTACATCAACTTATTTTTTATAGGGTCAAATTGAAGTTAGTATCCTATCCCGATTAAGTCAAGAAAATGCGGACGAATTCAATTTTGTACGCGCCTATGAGTGTTTCCAGCACAAGACTCACACCTGTCTCGTATTCGAGATGCTGGAACAGAATCTATATGATTTCTTGAAACAGAACAAATTCAGTCCACTGCCCCTTAAATATATTCGCCCGATTTTGCAGCAGGTACTGACTGCGTTGCTAAAACTCAAGGTAAGAATTCAGTCTCCAAGAGGTTGAAAAAAAATCTTGTTAAATTTTAAAAGTTAATTACATTGTACCGGATAAAAAATATTTTGGCAACTGGTAAGCTGTTCTAAATAATAGTGTTACAAAACTTTTTTGCATGTTGTAAGAAGTAATAAAATATTATTAATTTATTATGGCTTCCACCTAGTGTCTGATGATGTTTTTATCACGTTTTATCAGGAAAAAAGAGATTAAGATATCATTTACAACAATTATTATATAAATGCACATACAATTTAAAAATACATATCTTGTGTCTGTCACATAGAAATATGTGGCTATGATAGGTCTAAGCTATTATTTATTCAATATAAAAAAAAAACTTGACGCATAAATTTTTTATGTAGGTACTTATTTAGAAATGAGATTATCAACATGTGAATAGCTTCCTTATAATGCTTAAAAACCAGGAAGATTATTTGCGTATTAAATTTTCATTCTTCTTCATATAAGACCTATAAAAGTAAGCAAAACATGTTACTACTGTTAATAAAAATATAGTAGAAATAAATTTCACTTCACCATGGATTTCAATTTTCACAAGGTGGGTATTGGCTCAATCAATTCTGACTCAGAGTAATGCAGGTGTGCTTATGAAATTCTGAATAATTAATATAGTGAAATATTTTTCCTTTATTTAGCAACTGGGACTGATTCATGCTGATCTTAAACCAGAAAACATCATGTTGGTAGATCCAGTACGTCAACCCTATCGCGTCAAAGTAATTGATTTCGGGTCTGCCAGTCATGTAAGCAAAGCCGTCTGTAATACCTATTTACAGTCCAGATATTATAGGTAAGAATTAGTAATTGAAAATTGACTTCAGCGCTGGAAATTTACTTTGGCTTTTAGGGCTCCAGAAATTATCTTAGGATTACCATTTTGTGAAGCCATAGACATGTGGTCACTCGGTTGTGTGGTTGCCGAACTATTTTTAGGGTGGCCTCTCTATCCAGGCTCATCAGAATATGACCAAATTAGATATATCAGCCAAACGCAAGGTACGTTTTCTATTTGTTTATTTTAAGTTTTTTGTTCACAAAAACAAATCCTTTTAGGCTTACCCACAGAGCATATGCTCAATAACGCATCAAAAACCACGAAATTTTTCTACAGAGACATGGACAGTACTTATCCATTTTGGAGGCTAAAAACACCAGAAGAACATGAAGCCGAAACTGCTATCAAATCAAAAGAAGCCAGAAAATATATATTTAATTGTTTGGACGACATTGGTCAAGTAAATGTTCCAACTGACCTAGAGGGTGGACAGCTATTGGCTGAGAAAGTCGATAGAAAAGAATTTATAGATCTACTGAAAAGGATGTTGACAATGGACCAGGTAGCAATATTTATTCTGATTTTCAAAAACAAAACAATAATATGCTAATATGGTATAAAATATAATATTATCATATTTTATTTGTTTTGTTTCATTTTGAATCCTATGCAACTTTGTTTTTGATTTTACAGGAAAGACGCACAACACCAGGCGAGGCTCTTAATCATCCGTTTGTAAGATTGGCACATTTAATCGATTATGCTCATTGTAATAATGTGAAGGCTAGTGTTCAAATGATGGAGGTATGTCGTCGCAACGACTATAGCACGTCGTCGACGGCGGCACACCATCAACCTGCACAGCAGGCTCCATCTTTGGTCGCTAACTTCGTACCAAGCTCAAATGGTAATGTTACTTTTACCATTAATAACCAGCTGACCAATCAGGTACAGAGGTTAGTTAGGGATCGTTCTGGCTATGACAATTTGGTAAGGGTTATCAATTACATAGGAAAGCAATGTCTTGAATAAATTTTTAATTATTTCAGTATCAAATTTATAACGGAAGAACAGTGGGCCGTCAATATGCGACCAGTGCCCGCGCTGATCCATTTCAACATCAACTCGTGTCTAGTATTCTTTGTCCAGCTGGTGAGTTATTTTGTGAATCAACTAAAGCTTTTTTACTTGTTTTTTTATTTGTTTAGGCTATCAGGGAATGGGTGGCTCTCCTGCTAAACATGTAACTGTTGTTCAACAGCCCCCGTTACAGATTCAACCTCCAATTTTGAGTCAACCTGGTCAGCAGCAATATGTCCCTGTTAGTGTCGTGGAACCTTCAGGAAGACAAATGTTACTTACTGTGAGTAAAATATAATTTATATCAATATTATTTATTGATCTTTAAACATTTATTTCTCTTCAGAACGCTGTACAAACTTCTTGGCCTACCAGCAGACAACAAATGGCTATAGTACCATCTTGGCAACAATTACCGCCTCAACATGCAGCCATTCAACAACCACTTCTGTCAGAAGCTGAATGGGGTAGACCGCTTTTAGTAGCCGATTCAACTGCAATTCTTCAAGTAAGACTAATTTGAGATTTATATTTTTAATCTTTAGTATAATTTTGTCTTTTAGGACCAGCGACCAGTATTTCCAGTGGATGTGGCCACTGAAGTCTATAATCCTGCTATAGTAGATCACAGTGGTTCTTGGGGCAGTAGCAAAAGAAGTTCCAGAAATCATCATAGCCAACAAACTGCACCTCATCATAGTCATCATCATTTGATGGTAATTATAAAAAAATTCTGCCAATTGATAAGTTTATATGTAATACCTTAAAATTTCTTGAAAGGTTCCTACTCATCATCGATCTCACCACGACAAAAAGGAACAAACTCAACTTTCACCGGTCAAAAAGCGGGTTAAAGAAGGCACCCCACCTTCGGAGCAGTACTCCAGTAGCAGAAGAAATCATAGTTCTTCTAATAGTGCATGGTCGCATCCAAGTCATCATCAGGTTACCTCCCAAGACCACCATACACAGACCTATAACAATCATCACCATCACAATGGTCACCATCATGGAGGAAAGAATCAACATACAATAACCATCAATGATACACCTTCGCCGGCCGTCAGCGTGATTACAATTTCCGACAGTGAAGATGAAGGGTTGCCAGGAAAGAGGCTAGTAAGAAAAGTGAGTTTTTTTTGTAAAATATTATCAACAGTATAAGTTAACATTTTCTGTGTTGATAAACGTAAAATTTCAAATGTCAACATAGTTTTATAATGTAAATCATCTCTTATTATGAAAATGGTAATTCTATACAAGAAACAACCCAAAATTTCTGGGAACTTGTAGGATTGAAGAACCAAAAATTATTATTATTTCTCAATGACTGCATATCTAATAAAAAGAAAAGTGAGAAACTAGTGACAACTGCAGAACTAGAATTGAAATCATTTACGCCTTTCAAGTGTCACTAAGTAGCCAGCATCGCTTTCTCGATTGATGGCCTTTATTGTTGTGTAATCCACCTAGAAAATGGAAAGAAAATAGTACATACTTGTCCCAAAAATGTTGGACAACAGAGAAATGATTCAAATTTTGGGAATATTCCGATTAACTAATTTAATATACAGAATGAAATTCACTACTTGGCTAAAATGATTTGAGAAGGATAAGACTGTAATACATCTCACATTCAGTTGTTCAATTAACTAGGCAAAGGTGGCAAAAACAGGGCTTTATAATAAGAATGTAGAATATAATACGTAGTAGTTTCTATATTCCTTATTATGTAGCAACTGTGATGCATTTGACTTAATTTGATTTGAGGAATAAAAATAATCAAATGCTAAAACTTATGAGGAAAGCAATCCTCAAAGTAAATATGCGATCCAAAATAAACTTCCTATTGTAGTTTAAAGTCAAAAATATATCAACTAATTATTTCTTCAGGTACAAACCAACAATGTTGGTACCCAACAGAGTCAAACACACCATACAAGTCAACAACACGTACCAAGTAGAAAGAACGTCATCAGCTGTGTGAATGTCCAGGATAGTGATAATGAGGACAGGAGCTCGTCAAAACATAACCATCATCATCATCACCAGCAACACCAACACCAACAAGCCCAGCCTCAGCCGTCATCTTATAACAGTCAGCCGGTCATTAAAAACGAACCATCTTCTTGTTCCAGTAGCAGTAGTAGCAACACTGGCGCTTACACCACCCAGAAAAAACGGCTTTTGGCTAAAGCTCAGTCTGAATGCATGCTGAATGTGGCTACCAAGCAAGAACCTGGTAACTACTTTTCTGTATTCAAAAAAACATATATGTAAATTATTATTTTCCAGGTGTAAATGAGTACTACAGCCAATGCAGTTCCGCTTGCAAGGAACAACAACCATCAAGTTCTCAAAATTATTCTCATTACTCAGGTTCAAATATGGGCCATGAACAACCTAATTATCCATCGAGTAATGCTGAGAAAAGAGTTAGTTGGGCACCTCCTGTTGCTCATAACACTTCTTCAAGGTGAGAATTATATTTTCTTTGTATTCAGATTAATTCCTTTTTTGTATGAAACTTGACAGTCGCATGACTAGTTCTGAAACGATTATATAATATTAGTACATTATGTGTTTCTATTTTGGGGTCATATCGAAGTCTTTTCGACACTAAAAGTAGTTTCGAAAGGAAGCTCTTTGTGACACTCCTTTCTTACTTATCGGAAGTTGGTAACAGTGGCTGACTGATGGCCATCTAACTGCGAACTCTCATTCGCGATTTTATTAGGTCTGTTTCTGCAGAAATCACAAACCAGTTAGAGCGAATTTGATTGGTTGAAAACAGTCAGAAACAATCAGAAAACTAGTTTCAACCAATGAAATTCACTCTGACTGGTTTGTGATTTCTGGAGTGCGTTCGAAACCACCCTGGGCATCACACCGAGTTCACACTAGCCATAAATAATTCATATTTTTAGCTGGTGTGCACTCGGTGTAACGCCCAGGGTGATTTCGAACGTACCCCTGCAGAAACAGACTTACAAGTAGATTTAATTCTATATTTGGCATGGAAATATGAGAAAAAAATGTCCAAGAAAAAGTTGTTTTTTTTTTAAAATTAAACAATACCAAAATAGAAAAAGTAGTATAAAATATTCGTTTCATAAGACGTCATTTTATCGCATAAGCCCTATATTAGAAAACGAGCCGGAGGCGAGTTTTCTAAAGGGCGAAAACTTGTATTTTAATGAACTATTTTGTCACATGATCGTGGTAACGGGGAAGGCTTACAAAACACAGTGTTTTTCTATGCGGCGTTTCGTAACTATTGCTACTTTTTAAGCACTACAAGAAATAGAAACAGAATATGTACGTAAATGAAATTTTAACAATATTAAAATTCCTACCTGTCTCTGTGCCCTCGAAGTTATGTAAGTTTCTTTTTCCGAAAAAGAACAGGAAACATTTTCTAAACACATAATTAAAACAAAAGTACTCTCAAAGTTTACGTTTAAATGTTTGGAATCTCGACTTTTACTGGTATGAGCGTTTTTGTTTATGATACATAGTATTATCTCTTTTGAGCTTGAAGGTTCAAGCATCCTAACTTTATTGACTGACAAAATCAATACAAAATACAGGGTGTCCCACGGTGGATGGCGTATTAGACGTTTATGGAGAACTAAAAAGCGGATCATTTTGAAAATTTGGCAACCGGGATAAACAACCATGATCTACACTTTAAAAATATTTTTGACCATGCGGTGTTGCCGCTTCTACTCTAAACTAGTGACAGCATCGCTAGTTTAAATAGAACACCCTATATCTGATTGCATATTTGGATTCTATGTAAAATTCTGAGCAGATTTCATGTGATATACCCTATACCTAAGTTCAACTGTTTTGGAAATATTAACAGTTGAAAATTGACTTTTTGCAACTTTGACAGGCTGTAAAACCTGATCGGTTAATTATAGAGGAAAACCGATTTTACATTCCTATCTTAGATTTTGATAAACTATCATTTGACACCAACTTTGAACTTAACCGGAGATTAAATTTAACTGAAATTTTTAATCATGGATTTATTTCAAAGTTGGTGTCAAATGATAGTTTATAAAAATCTAAGATAGGAAGGTAAAATCGGTTTTCCTCTAAAATTAACCGTTCAGGTTTTACAGCCTGTCAAAGTTGCAAAAAGTCAATTTTCAACTGTCAATATTTCCAAAACAGTTGAACTTAGGTATAGGGTATATCACATGAAATCTGCTCAGAATTTTATGTAGAATCCAAATATGCAATCAAATACGGGGTTGTTCCATTTATTTTATTTTATTTTATTATTCTCTACGATATAAGTATTTTAAGATACAAAAATTACCAAAACTGTGGTTTTAGGAGCACGAAGAGACTTTGAGCGTCCGATCTTAAGCTTATAGTGTCATTCGGAGTTTGGCTGCTGGTGTCAAAGTCTTGTTTAGTTTGTCCAATAAAACATTTTCCACAAGAACAGGTTTTTGTACTGTAAAATGCCAGTTTTGAATTGGTTTCCTCAAAACATTTATTAATTATTTATGAAGGGCCATTAATAAAAGGGAATTTTAAATACTTATTTAACATTTGGCTTTGGACTGCGATGATTGGATGTGTTGCTCTTCCGATATACAGGGTGTCCCAGATAAGGATGCACTCTACAGGGATCTCAGTAACCATAAGGGCTTGGTTAAGTTTGGTAAAAGTTGCGCATTACTGAGCTCAGTGGTGTCATGCTTTAATATTTCGGAAATTCCAAAGGATTTTGAAGATATCTATCTATAAAAATCCGAATTTTGCTGAAATCGTTATTATTTTTTTCTGAATCTATTTGAGATGATAGGCAACGCTGCTCTTAATGTTTATACTAGCAATATTTGTGTTTGGTAAAAAATGGTGATTTATTGATATGATTATCAATAAAAAAAACTTTGAACGGTTCGATATGGTGGTCCAGTTATCTGTGTTGACGGGGAGTGAATAAAATCTAAAAAAGTTCACTCTTAATCCCTTATCCATCTTTTACTTCTCGACAAGATTGATTTGGAGTTTGGACTCTTCGAATTTAACCAATTTGTACATAGAAAATTTACACTGTTGTCCGACTGTTAAGTAAATAAATCCAGGGTTGGATAATTTCATCAGTAAGAAAATGACGAATTTCAAAAGTTTGCAGGCTGTCAGCGCAATTTTGGCAAAATGAAAATGAAATTGTTCTGCGGGACCTGCAAAGGCCTATTTCATTAGAATGCGGAAAAGTAACTGAGATCGATGCTCGTCTTATGCAGCATTAAAATCATCTATATTCTCATCAGCTAACTAGCCACATTCAGCCCTCTAAATGCCAGACAAAAATAAATGACTTCACTAAACAGTCCCTATCTCAGGGTCTATAATGCCTACTTGTGCAAGTCCGGAGAGAAAAGATGAAGGCATTTATGAATTGAAAAGCATTCTAAGGGAACTACAGAGCGATATTAGGGAAATGAAACTATCAATGAAGTTTCTAAATGAAAAGTATGAGGAGGGGAGAAAACGTAATAGGGTCATGTCGGAAATGTTTTCGGAAAATTTTTAGGGAAAACCAACTACTAAAAGAAAGAGTTTTTAGATTAGAACAAATAGCAAGCATATAGGAAGCAAATACAATAAAGAACAATACAGGGTGAGTTACTAAGCGCGCGGTTGTCCATATCTCCTATACTAACGGAGATCGGAGAAAAGACTGAATACAAAACTTGTAGATAAACATGAGTACTACATTCCTTAATTATTTTCCAGTATACAGAGTGGCCCAATAGCTAGTAGTTACACAAATTTATGTTTTTTTAAATGACTACCCCTGTATATTATGACATTCCTGGATTCTGTGAAAAATTCTAGACACATTTCATTTACAATGTCATATACCTATCTTCAACTGTTTCGGAAATATTGACAGTCGAAAACTGACTTTTTTGCATCTTTGACGGACTGTAAAACCTGAACGGTTAATTTTACAAGAAAATGGATTTTACATTCCTATCTTAGTTTTTCATAAACTATCATTTTGCACCAATCTTGAATTTAATCCATGATTAAAAATTCCGCCTAAATTATTAATCTTCGGTTAAATTCAAAGTTGGTGTCAAATTTATAGCTTATGAAAATCTAAGATAGGAATGTAAAATCAGTTTTCCTCTAAAACTAACCGTTTAGGTTTCACAGTATGTCAAAGATGCAAAAAAGGCAATTTTCAACTGTCAATATTTCCGAAACAGTTGAAGATAGGTATATGACATTACACATGAAATATGTCTAGAATTTGCCGCAGAATCCAGAAATGTCATAATATACAGGGGGAGTCATTTAAAAAAACATAACATTATGTCACTACTAGTTATTGGGCCACCCCGTATACTGAAAAATAACTTGGGAATGTAGTAGTCATGTTTATCTACAAGTTTTGTATTTAGTTTTTCCTCCGATCTCCGTTAGTATAGGAGATATGGACCACCGCGCGCTTGGTAACTCACTCTGTATATGCATCAGTGGTTTGATTTGCGATGATTTGGAAGGGGATTCTGTTGCTGACAGACCTGTTACATTATGTAATTTTCTTAATGTGCCCACATTGAAGAGCAATTTTGAAATAAATAAGCAGTTTAAATCTGACAACCAAGCTAGGTCTTTAGTTAAAATCGCAGACCCGGGCTTAAAACAAAAAATATTGCGAGAGAGGAAAACTCACTAGAGGCAATGTCAGCTTTGATGACCCTATCGGCGTGATCTATGTTTTGCAAGAACTTCCAAATACCTATACCTATTAATCTTTTCAAGAAATGCAAACGTCTTAAGAGTGAATCAGACTACAAATACGTTTGGTAGAAAAATTGAAGGATCCTGGTGCGCAAGAAGGATGGTCATGATCATATTGTCAGCAGAAATGAAGATCACCTAAATGAGCTGTTGGGTTGACTTTTATTTTCTTCTTCTTTCTATGGTTAACTTATATATTATAAAGTCCGTCGATTTTAATCTGGTACTCCAAAGGAATGTGAGCTGATGGTACCCTACATTAGAACGCCAATGGTCACCTGACGTCACACCTGTTTTTGCTCCTCATACGGAAAGTGTCAGATAAAAAAGAATGGAAAATATATCAATGCCTAAAATAAATTCTTATTTCTATACAATAAATAATAAAAAGGAAACTTTGCTGATAGGACATATAAACTCTAACAGCTGTATGCAACATCCTCTTTTAACCTAAAAGCGGTTTTTAAAACTGGTATCTTTAAAAATTTGTATTGCTTAGAATACACATTTTTAAAAGTGATCAGTTTTAAGAAGCGCTTTTAAGCTAAAAGGGGATTTTGCATACAGCCGTAGATCTTTATTTCCTAAATTTAATGATGTGAAAAATTATATGGAAGAAAATAATTTCGATGTTCTAGCTATAACTGAGACGTGGTTAACAAACTTAATAATTGATGAAAGTTTGAATATTAATGG